TTATTATTATTATTATATTATACTTATATACTGAATTTGATATTCTAATCTAAAACACAAACGCACAACTCGATGACGCAACACGTATGAATATGAACACAACCGGTATGCAGAGTACCCAAGAGGAGTGGGCAGTGGGAAACAATGCTGGTTATAAAAGCATCGAACCACTCCCTACTCCGAACTTCAGTCAAATTAAAAAAAAAGAATATCTATCCTCGTGGTTCCGAGACTCTAAGACCGGGCACAGTTCAGTTTTTGGTCGTTCTGCGCATCTCAATGCATTTCTTGCGACCCCCACCACCTTCCAAGCTGCGCAAAACGGTCCTAGACTTTCAGGAACACGAGTATATTTAACAGGAAACTGGCCTTGCCTCATGCGAGGCTATCTACGACGTAAATCTTAGATAAGACCACACGAATACCCGCAATAGTAGTGTATTTTAAACGCGGTGTTCCCTCTTGTATTGGTACTCGCATTTTTACGCGCGCACAATTACGGACGCGTCAGCGCACCGGCTAGGAGGAGGAGGAGGAGGAGGATGAGGAGCGCGCTGTGCGTTATCGAAATCGGCGATATGCTCTGAAAAGCTAGCGCGAGCCGCTTTCGCCGGAGAATTTTAATGCCAGCTAGCCGGCTGTCGAATCGGCGATCTCTGCCCCCGTCGTCGGTGAATTAATTGCAAACGCTTGTACGGACTTGTCAAGAATCTGAAACCCTTTTGCCGGCCCGCAACCGCAGGAGTCTCCGCTCTTGTTTTAAACCTGGCCTACTATAGCGTTCGGTCAAGGCTACCAAATAAAACAGGATTCGTTCACGGATTGTTGAGAACCTACTCGAGATTTTACATTTCAACCCGATCTTTGTTTCAAGTAATTGCCAGAAGATGTAGACATAATAATAAAAAAGAAAAACTGTCAGCCAAGAATGCAGTGATGTCCCTGTGAACGTTTCCTTTGGTCTGATCGTAGTCGATTCTATGTTCCCCAGGGACGATTCCACCGGGACATTGTATGAAATGAAGTACATAGACCCAGACGTAAAGTGGAAAATATCTGACAGCCACCTCGCTGTTATAGTAATAAACTAGGGAGTTTATATGTAGAGCTGGGACAGCGTTTCACCTAACGCTGGGTACGACTAAAATTGGACAGACCTTATGCTTCCGTGACATCAAGCTTCTATGTATATATGTACATGTGTACCTGTGTGTAATTGCTTCATTTTGGGAGAATTTGTTATATATAAACCTGAGGACATCGACTTTGATAAGTAATAGGGGAATTTAGTAATGGGTGACACTTGGGTGACACTTGGGTGGGACTTTGAGTTGTAAGTTGAAATGAATTCTTTCAATCCTAAGTCGAATCTGAATCTTAAATTGGGTGACACTTGGGTGACACTTGGGTGAGACTTTGAGTTCTAAGTTGAAATTAATTCTTGGAATTCTAAGTCGAATCTGGATCTTAAATTGGGTGACACTTGGGTGACACTTGGGTG